TTTTTTTTTTTTTTTTTGAGTCGGAGTTTCACATGTAGCATAGGCTGATGTTGAACTTGTAATCCTTCTCCCTCAGCCTCCCTAGAAGGCATGCACTACCACACCTTGAGTGTTTTTGTTTTGTTTTATTCTTTTCCTTTTTTTTTTTTTTTTCTGTATTGGAGACTCAGGACCTTGTGCTTGCAAGGCAGGTGTTGGCACCACTGAACTAAATCCCTGGCCCCCTTCTTATTTTTGAGACAAAGGGTCTGGCTATGTTGCCCGTGGGCTCACGTGATCTGTCTGTCTCAGTGACCCAGGTACTGGGACTACAGGAATGTACCACTATGCCCAGCCTAAAGATTGTTTCAGAAAGATTAAGTCCAAAGATGCCAGAAAACCTTTGAATGCCATTTCTTAGAACAAAATGAAGAATTGTTTTTGTTAACAGAAATGACTGTTACCCAAGAGACTGCTCAAGCTCAAAAGCCTTAGCTTGAGTTGGTTGGACAGAATCCCTGTGTTGTCCATTTGGATACAGCATGGTGTGGGTATGTCAGTCAAAGCTATAAAGTTAAGGAAGTGGGGATGTCTATTCATACAAGCATTTAAAAAATTTCAGAGTCAGGTATGTGTAATTTCACTTCCTTAGTGTATTGTTTATCAGCTCTTTGCATTCTGCTCATATTGTCTGTCAGTGATTGACAACTAAAAGAGGACCACCCTACCTGTAGTAAATCTATAGCATATTGAGGTACAGCAATTGTATGCCAGTCAGAGAAGGGCTTTAGGAGATGCAAGTTGTATTCCTACATATAGATTTGTCTGTTGACTGAGGTGAAATTCATATAACCCTAAAGTAACCATTTTAAGGAGTGTACATTTCAGTGGCATTTAGCACATTCACGGTATGATCCAACCATTACCTGTAAATGTCTGGTTTCTTTCACTTAGCATAATGTTTTGAGGTTCAATAATGGTGCAGTGTGTATCAGTACTTAGTTACATGGTTCTGCCATTTATCTATGAATCTTCTGTTGATGGACATTTGAATTCTGCTTTTTGGCTGTTACTAATAATGTTACTGTAGACATCCTACTCATGTATCTGCTTTTGTGTGGGTATATGTTTTCATTTTTCTTGAGTGTAAGTATACCTAGGAGTAGAGTTGCTAGGTCATATGGTAATTTTGGTTTAACTTCTTAACCTCCAAAATGTTTCCATAATGGCTGCAGTATTTTATATTATCCCCAGCAGTGTATAAGTATTCTTCTTTCTTCATATCCTTGCCATGATCTTTTTATTGTAGCCGACACAGTAAATGTGAAGTGGTACTCATGGTGGTTTTGATGTACATTTTCTTAATTATTAATAATATTGTACATCTGTACATGTACTTGGGAGCATTTGTATATTTTCATTGGAGACATGTCTGTTCAAGTCCTTTGCCCATGTTTGATTTTTTTTTTTGGGTGCCAGGGATGGAACTTGGGTCCTTGCACTTTCGAGGCAGGCGGCAGAACCACTGAGCTAAATACCCGGCCCGTTTTGCCCATTTTTGAATTGGGTTTTATTTTTGTTT